GTGTTTGAAATTAGAAGGCAATACGAAGTGGTAACTACAGTCAATCAGCGGATAGCACAGATCACAAGACTACAAGCACATTGAGCGTGTTTGAAGCAGAGAGGCGAATATGGGTATGCGAGAGAATACAGAGGCAAATTTCTAGTTAAATCGAACCAAGGCGTAGCTAGGCAAGGCAAAGGCTGATAATAGGATTTGCGTACATATACACATGAGGAATAGAATGATTCATCGGGCGATATTTAAGCTATCAGCGTTGTAGCTAGAGTCTGTCATGTGATAAATATACGTTTAAACAGATATGGTAGTGATCATAATGGTGTAAAGAAATATGTACATTGTTATTGTTCGAATAACATTGTCTGTTAAGTTAATAAAAAAGCTTAACCAAAACTAACCATAATCGAAAATGATTATGTGAGAGTTGACATAAACTTACAAAATAAGAAAAAAGTGTCAGAACGATGGTAAAATGAGGGGGACTAAGTTTACTGTTTCTGAAGAACTAGACCGTTATACTTAAGTTTCTTATCCAGCCTCCTTTAAAACCAGTTTTTCCAACTTTATGAATAACTTTTAATGAAGATTCTATTGTAGAAAATTTACCACATTTAACCAAATATTCAAAAGTTTAAGTAGTGATTGAATGATTTTTTACCATTAGATAAGCATGCTAGTTAGTGCCCAGATATGATTTTGGATAAAGCACAATTTGTGCGACAACATGAGTTTAAGTTAATTCTGAACACACTTCACATAAAATGGAACACAAACAAATACAAAATTTCAATATGAATGGACAAGCGTTTATTAAAGCAATAATTTCAACCACACTCATAGCGCGATGGCGTTTGAAGCGAACAGTACTGGGTTCGAGTCCCGGAGTGAACATCAACTCTGGAATGCAGTACATCCAGCTGGCAAGTCTCAAATAGGACTAAACGAGCGTCCTGGATTCCACTGCTAACCACTATCCATCTCTGCTTATCATGTTTGTGACTTAAGGCAATATCGAGACAATCAGCACAGGATACACATATGCCAATAGAAAACTGATCAATTACAGTCCTAAACATCAGTGATAAGATTCAAACAAATAATACAAAACACATTTAACTTTGTTAATTTTGATCTCGATTATTTACTTAATGAAGCTCTAGTCAAATTACCCGGTGAAAAATTAAAATTATTCAAATTTCAATCACTGAAATGAATTCAAATAGAAGTTTTCTTTTAACGTGAACTAGAACTAAATTAATTAAGAATAGTAAAAATAAATCTATATAAGTTTATTTTAAAGATTATTATGCATCATTTGTAAATATTGAGTGATTACACAATTTTGTTTAATATTCTCGTAGTTGAATATTATCTCGATCAAAGTTTGCGACCATTATGTATTATTATAAGAAAGAGGTTTTGTGGAGACTGTAGTAATTATGTATTCATTTTATTTAATCTCATATCTGTATTTATTGATTGAAAATTCTTATTTTGTTTTCTTTAAATTTCACAAGATAGTAACACATATGAACAATTCACTGAATTTATTATTTATATTTCAGTTTAATTGTACAAAGTTCTTTATCACTATCTCAGTACTACATGTGGTATTCAAATAAACGTGACCTTTTTAAATCAGTAAACAAACCATGCAATTACATATATATTATTTACAATGTGATATTTCTGAAATATGAGTCAGTTAAATATGTGCAGTTAGTATGGAATGACACAAATACTACAATCTCTGGGTGATTTGTAGATTTGCTAAATATGATAAACCTATTTCGGAGATGATGCGTTTTCTTAATTTAGTCGTTTCATGGTAAAAATTTCATTTTCCTCCAGGATAGCATAACTAGTACAAACGTCAAGAGGGAACACATTGATATTTATATTGTAACTAATGTTATACTTCATCCTGTATAAATTAATAACAGAATTCACAAGTCATAGGACTGATAGAAAGTCAACGGGATTACGTTTATGAGAAAGATGGAAACAAAGAATATCCGATAGGGATCAAGTTTGGTAGCCATCACATAAATGGAAGTTTGCTTAAACCACGTCATCCAGTTGCCAGAATTCACGTATTGAGTAACATTCATGGAAAGTCTGTTATTTTTAAATAGAGGTATAAGACTTGTCAACTATGGAGATTATTAAAATCAAACTGAAATTTATTACGGTTAGTACTAATGAACAAGAATTTTACTTTGCTTCCAAATAAGCTATGAAAGTGTATGATACTAGAATCATGCTTAGTGAATACGTATCAATAATCTGTTTTCAGTTATATTTAAAGTGACAGAATAATAAAACTTTCACAACCATCAATACATTTATTATTATCGTTTATTCGCAGAGAGTTTCCTTGGCAGTGATGAAAACAGATTAATGAAATAAATATTTCTAAATGCTACCCCAACATATTATATCTAGTAAACTGTAGTTACAAGTGATTCTGTTGTACTAGGCTAATTTGTTAATCAATCCGTCTAGAAAATATAATTATTTAAATCAGTATAATTGTTGATAATTATTCATACTATTTCACACTGTATGCATTTTTCTTTACCATACTTCATTATTTGCACACATACTAACTTCTAGAATTAAAGTAAGATGTGTAAATAAGGAAGACTACTTAACTGAACAATAGTTTGTATTTTAAGTAAGTTCAACTCTAACCGAAACAACGATATTAAAATAACAAAATAAAAATAGAAGGATTCAACCTTAAAGACAGAATTGGTAAATAGAACAGAATGATAAGCTTAAGTTTAGGAGTATGAGAAACCAGACTGTGACCAACCAAATTAACGTGTATACTTTGTGTATTTCTTTCCGTCATTATCAATTTATATAAAAAACTATTTTCAGGACTATTATTATGTCTGCATACTGGAAAATCAATTAGGAGCTAGGCGTGGTCAAAGTAAGCTGTCTACACGAATCGATTTTTCAAAACACTAATCCCTTTGAGGATGATTCGGGTCAAACTTACAGGTTTCTTTATTGACTCGAATGAATATTATATATATATATGTTCGTACTGATTTGGGGAAGTATGATAAAAACTCGTTTTTTCCATAAATCCTAAAAGGACCCATTGATATTGTTTCAACTGCTAAAAGACTAAAAGATTTAGCTGAGGTAATATTATTTTTTTTACTTTCGACCAACATACGGGTTGAATCAATTTTACAGTTACTTTAAACTAAACATTAACTGGACTCAGTATATCAACCAAATTATAAATCAACGGTGAATGAAACACTAAAAGAATTACTGAATCAACTTGTATGTTTACGTACCCTCAAATTTAACTACTATATTAACTAGTTGTAAGTACTGTTCAACTCTTTTATAATGAAATGTATTAAACTTGGTATTAACGTATGTATGTGTGTTATTGGAGTGACTACCAATGTAGAACTACTAAAGCGCCTAGAATCAAAAAAGAAAATCAATTATAATCTTAAAAATTACATTTTACTAATTTCAACACTGACCTTATAAAAGTATAATTAATTATATTTTTTTAAACGGTCAAAAAAGTGTACACAATCTGTTGAAATTGAATGACCTTCAGATGAGGAACCAATCGAATGAAAAGTATTTCAGATACAATAAAATGATATTATCTGAAAGGCAGTGAAATGCAATTTTCGATAGTTTTAAAACAGCTTTCACGTGTTTCACATCATCGACATACGTGGAGACTGTGTAAGAAAGGTGCAGAGATAGTGAAATGAGGAATAAATCCAAAAAATTAAAATCTTGAAGTAATAAAAGCGATTCATTGTGTCACTAAAGAAGAATTAATTATAATTCAACGCAGAAAATATTCTTTTCAATGATGTCATTTTCTTAATCTGTACAATCGTATTTATAATGGCTGAACAATTGGTTTCGCTTTGTAATTTGTTCTTCAACTTTGCAATTGTTACGCAGCCCTATTTTGCACTTTAAATTGTATATTTCTATTTCTGTGTTTTAATAGACTACTACTCTATTTGTTAAATCAAGGTAAATACAGCTCTATTAAGTGGGATGGCTGAAAGAATTATTTAGTGTGCTGAATTATTTTTACATCTTTTTCAAATGAAAATCTGCTTATTCTTCTTAACTCTATGGATAATATCTAGGAAACATTTAAGTTTAACTGTTTGGAATTTTGATTAATAATGTTTAAAAAAAGATGTTAATCTCAGTCTCGAGGTAGATTTCTATTATAAACCAGGTAACATATGTTCTAACTGAATGAAATCGGGCTAGATTGTGCCTTGTCTCATCTGTATCGTCTAATATTTCTTATTTCTTTATGCCTAGTTTCCTACATCTATTTCTTCATAACATGTACATTTTGTTCTTGCTCAATGTATTGATTGGCACCCTTTTCTAATAACCCTTTATATATTTCGTTATATTTAAACAATTTGTCACGTACAATTTAGAATGATTTCAAAATAGCTTGTTTTTTTTTATTAAACTGATTTATACATTCTTGATTGCAGAATATTTGCTCATTACCATTCAAACTATTATAGTTTGAGCATCAGATTAATTAAGTAGCTAAAATAACATTATATCAATCTAAATTATTCGATTTTACTGAAAACCTCATGAAGTAAATATCTAATTGAAGTATATATAAATTAGTTTTCAAGAATAAAGATGAACCAACCATCTCTTGTTACCCAGTCCTCCAGAAATATTCTCTACTGTATCATTATTCATGAAGGATATTTAAACTGAATATTCTCATGCATCTGTATTAAAATATACATCTGAAATACATTTGAAAGTTTTCTAACTAGTATGTTGTCTTTAAAAAACAAAAATACTGCCGAAACATCCATTTTTCAATACCTCAGTTCTCCGTTAAGTTAATTAACAATGAATACGATTCATTCATACTTTTTTAAAAAATCAGTTAATTACGAAAAAATTCATTGAAAACGAAAAAAACTAAATAGTTAACTTCGACGTACATGACATGTCGTTTTAATTAATTGATCAATTATTTGGTCAGCTAGTGTATATGATAATTTTCTAATTTCTTCGATCTCTGCCAACGTTTCAGGAGCTAGCAGTTCACCGAACAAATGATTTAAAGATAAATCTGATTTGGAAGTATTCTGATGGCGATTTTCTGAACTAGGTGAGGTCGGTTGTGATAACAAAGAGGATGTATTATCTTTAACATCTACTGTACCAACTGAAGGACATTTAATGTCATGCGTAAGCCAATTGGGTGTGAGGTAGATAGCCAAGTCGTAGAAGAATAAACTAAGCCAAAATTGGAAGACTATTCGACCAGATTCAGTCTATATGAAAAAAAAGTTATAAACAAATGGTAGATAAGAAAACTAAAATCGAGGAATTGATTCAAAATGAAAATAAAATTTCTTCAATTTACACATACATAAAAGACAGATACGAATAACTAGATTTTGTTAGAAGTTCCAAATACTTTAATACTAGGTTTATATCTATTGATTTCAAAGCTTGTATATTTTTTCGAAATCACATTATCATGTAAAACAGTTCAATATGTTGCATTATACTAAATGCAGTATATTCAGTTATTTGTTAGGTGATCATGTTCTGAAGAGGAATATTACTGCTTCAAATTTATAATCTACCAATTAGGTTTTAAAAAACGTTTGGGGGTTTGTGGAGATTGTAGTATTATAACAGTTGAGTTCACAAGTAAGTAAGACCATCATTGAAAACCTGGAAGTACTGGACGGTTCACAGTTATCCACCTCAGACAATCAATGAATGGTTGCGTAAGACCATGCATCGACTGAAGTTAGACATTAGCATTTTCCGATGCCGGCCAGCTCAGTGGACTAGAATTTAACCGTTCGCACGAGAGACTGGAAGTCCTGGGTCCGAGTCGCGTATGCGGGATCGTGGATGTGCACTGTTGAGGAGTCCCATACTAGGACAATTATGTATGTGATTTCATAGTGCTCTATTTCATTTCTTTTGAGTGACAAAATTCCAGTTTATGAAATTACATAAAGGTGATTAAGTGGATTAATGTATTCTTAAAGTCAAAAACATTTTTAAAACTATGTGAAGTGCATGGTATCCATCAATCAATTTACGTGATGAGATTCTACAAGACAAAAATAAATCAAGCACTTGATTAAGAAACTAATCAATAAGCGCAACATAATTTATATGTGTAAATATCAATTTAGCTGAAACTAAACAGAATACATTATGAAAAACATTTAAAGATTTGTAGCTAGCTAGTGGTAGAATATTTTTCTACATTTACGAACAGAATACATAAATAATGATCATAAGACAAATGTATCTAGGCCTGTAGAAAATAAAACAAAAGGATAATAATAATATGAAATAAAATTGCTCTTTTACACCTACTTTTATAAAATGATTGTTAGTCAAACACACGAAAAAATAAATGATTATAGTTTCCTAGAATGTGATGGAAAAAAATCAACAAGATGACTTGTTAAAAAACAAACTGATAATTTAACCTTTTCCCAATAAAGATAGCAATAATAATGCAGTATTGTTATGACTTTCTTGAAACATCATTTTAAAAGTACACGTGATAGCCTGAAGGTGTGCTACATGATTATTGATGTGATACTGGTAACCATTTCTTAAAATAACTTTTTAGTTTCCACTATCTTCTTATAGTTTTTGAACTCTAACTAATAAGCGTCACATGACAGCATCATTAAATCGATTTACGCTATTTTATTCTAAGCACATGACACTAAATTATTTTCTTTTACCTAACTGGTAAAATGAAAGAATGTTGCCATAAAGTTATTGTATTTAGTATTTAGATGGTAACCAGTTTCTCTAAAATGTATAAAGTTGTAACCGAAGTCTTCGAAATATTAAAGGCAATAACAATACTATGGGACAAGTACTAAGAGCACAGAATAGTTTCAACCTTAGATGTTTGAATCTAACCAAGAAAATGTTATGAACACGGAATTCATGATTAGTGACGCTCATTACGAATACAGTTCCTCAGATTTGGTTAACAATTATATCCTGAAAGGTTTAAAAATCTATTTAAAAAAGTTTCCATATAAGAAATTGATCTTAGTAAGATAATCAGTGAAAACAGAAGCATTGGGCACCTATTTCATTCTAGTGTGGGATTCTGAAAATGTGCACCCACCACTCTTAAGGTTTAACACGGGATTTTCAAGCTACACGGAGAACGTGTAATCTTTCATTTAGCTAATCAATAACCTTGAGTAAAGCTGAATCAGTTTAGTAAACCTACCAATCCATGATCAAACAAGATTAATTCAGGACCTAGAATATTCACAAACGTAGATGCTTGACTGCTGTTCAAAAAATATTGATTCAGTAAATGTAAAGTAACAAGATGGCTGCCAAATAAAGATTCGCATATCTGAAAAACGAAATTTTTCATACACTTCCAAAAATCAGCAAAAGCTATTTTATTTACCCAATTGTGTCAATGAATTTTTTTCACGTTTTCGCTGAGAGAAAATTTAGATACATTTGTTGATACATTTTATATAATTCAAAGAATCTACTGACCTTTATATGGATAATATTTCTGATTAAAGTTAAAATATACTTCTACCACATAAGGGACTATTACTCATTCTGAGATGGTGAAGATTTGTAGCTCAAGTGGATGATTTTGATGGAGTTTTGTTCTCTGACCAAACCATCCAACTCAGAGAACAAAACTCCATCAAAATATTACTCATTCCGTTAAGCCTATCCACTGACAGTAGTATTCGACATCATCACTTTTATTTAAAGCTTGTGAGTATTCTTTAGTAAGTTCTATCAAAAATCCTTTAACTTTGTATATACCGACTGCGTCGATTTAAGCCTATATTATTTGTTGCCTCATCAGCATAATATGATAAACTGGTTTCGTTGTTCATAAGAGACCGGCATATTATAAATCACACTGTACTTGATATGGCTTTTTAATCATCAAACTATGGAACGTTTGAGTATGATGCATTAAATCACTCAAAATTTAAACAATAAGTAAGACACTACAGAATCCTGCATCCATTAATTCAAATTAGGCACCCATGTAGTAGTACTAAGGAAACATTTTATGAATTAATAATATCGTTATGAGCCAAGCACTCAAATTTAGGCTTATTTACAAATTTGCAATAAGTTATGAATTTGGCGGTGGCGTTAAATGTTTACACTGACTTGTGAGATGATTCTTTCAATAAATATATTGTTTTACATTTTGAATTTGAACTAGAATGTTAATGTATTAATCTCATTTAGGATAATGACTTTATTTTACATATCGGAACATTTTGAGATTAATCAAAGGAGAACAAAAATTCTAACAACAACTATTATTCGTAAAACTAAATACATAAAAAAAAGTATGATGAATTATTAATCAATAGAATAATGTAACAACACATAATTACTACAAAATTTTCGTTCAGAATCATTAGTTCTGGGTTTGAATCTCGCGTGGGGCGGAATCGTGGATGCGCACTGTTGAGGAGTCCCATATTAGGACGAAACGGCCGTCCAGTGCTTCCAGGTTTTCCATGGTGATCTAGCTTCAATTGACTCATGATTTCAACTTTTGAAATTACTAAAATCTCCACAAAACCCCTTCTAACGATAATATTGAAGTTAACACTTTTTCATATTTTAAATACTTTCCATTTAAAACAATCTCATTAAAAACTTTTAGGGAAAAACTCGGTTTGAAACTTGATACTAAACTTATTACCAGTTTATTTATTACTAAGATATGAACAGATAGTGTTTACGTGTAAAATAAATTTCTGATCTGATTATGGACTACTTTTTTATTAAATAATGGTCTCGTATTAATATCATATCAGTAACTCAGTTACAACGACGAGTTACCGATCGATTCAGTATGACATTTGTTCGTATTGAGTTATGGAATAACCAGATGACAGACAGACATAATAATCACCCCAATTTCACTGTTGATCAATGAATGTGAAATTGTATATTAATGAATGTATTTACATATTATTTTTATCAGAATAGAAATGTCTGGAGATTGTAGTGATTTTAATAATGAATACCCGACCGTTGTTGCTACCTTGACATGATGGTCGAGCTTGCCTATCGTGATGAACCAATCCAGTTATACTGGCTAAAACAATCGTTACTCAAGGTCCTACCATGCCAAACAGATCGATTAAAGAACGGCGAGACTAAAAGCAGCAAACTCAAGGTCCGAGGGCAAAATTGTACTGCTGACTGTACAGAGCTGTGACGGCAGTAAAGTGTTTCTTTCGTACAACCAGCATAACAACGATGCTGCTTTCCCACAAGGAGCGGTGGGGTTAGAAAAGGTCGACCCTAAAAATGTACATCTCGCCTTATCCCACGGATATCCGTCTCCGGCGGTGTCTCAACAAGTACGGAGCCAACACGAAAATTACTCATAAAAAGGTCGTGTGTGACTGACCCCAAGCAGTTGTCTCTTGGGCACTGCGGTCACACTCTCAGGTCACTAAGACCACCTCTAATCCAAATCTCTTTTCAGGTACCTCTAGAGGAACTCTTCCACGGTGTGGCAAATCGGGAAGAGAAAACCAGCCTCATACCTCTAACAGTATTCAAGATCACTGTTTCCATAATCAGCCGCCCTCTTCAATTTCTATTATTCCTCCTACTCCGACTTTTAATCCTAAACTTTCTTTATTGACTTCTTTCTTAAGTGACAACATGGTCGATGATTCTAGTATGCGAAACAGTCCCAGGTCTACTGAAACCTCACTCCAAACTACACATTGGAGCCTTTAACGTATGCAACCTATGTCAAATCGGCCTGTAATTCTCCCTGGATAAGACCCTGGAATCTCGTACCATTGATGTATGCTGTATCTCCGAAACACACATATAGGATCCTAGTGTGGTCTTTCACTAGACCTCACCTAACCAAAACGAAGAGCTGACCAGATACACCCTCCGTTTATCTGACGACCAGATGGCTAAATCTCATGAAATGGTGGGTGTAGCCATAGCACTAAGTACCAGGATAGAACAAGCACTATTAGAATGGTCCCTATCGACAGTCACATATGTGCTGTTCGGCCAAACTGCTCCGCAAGAGCTCGAAAGAATAGAGACACACGTTGTTGCCTTTTCGTCATTTCCGCTTACGTTCCCACTGACTGCAGCCCATATGAAGTGAAAGATGAATTTTACAGAAAGCTTTCTGTACTTCTTAATAAGGTTAAACTCTCAGACATAGTACTCGTGTCAGGCAACTTTAATGCCCAGGTAGATAGCTTAAACCAAACAGACATCTAGG